AAGGTGCTCTAAAGTGGAGCACCTTCATCTGATACCTCATTAGAGGAGGGTTAAGTTTTTGCACGATTGGTCTCATTCAAAGCACTCCAGCCATGCATGTGTGTCATGGCATGACTATAGAGCACTTTCAGGGGCCCGACCATGTAAAAAGTGTAACTTCTGTCTGCGCCTAAAAGGATGTGAAAACCAGGAAGGTTTGTTTCATTCCAAGGCTTTCGCAACTTTTCCCATTCCTTCCTTCCCCACACCCCCCATTTCGTCATGGAAAATATTATGGAATAAAAACGTTCATTTTGCTTTGAAAAACATTTTCAATTGTTGGTTCCATTTCCCTTTCTCTTACTGTTTCCCCCCTTCCCTGTCTTCAGAAAAAGAGACACCAAAAAAGGAAAAACTTGCATTTACTAACTCTTTACTTGTATGCTATTTTGTTTTTTCCACTGAGAAAAACAGGGAGAAAGCCAAAGGGAATGAGGAATTCCTTTCAGTTTCTTTGTTTGTTTTAAATGTTACTAATAAAAAAAATGTTGACCGTATTGACACTTCAGCAAGAATTATATCATTATCAAGACCTCATTTTTTCAACCACACATATTGTTTTGAGGGAAAAAAAAGACCTATTCTATCTAGCACTGACTCAGGATGGTGTCAGCTTGTGCATATCTTTGCATATTCATTCATTTGTCAATGATGGCAAAAAAGGCCTTCAGAAAATGAGTATCTAAGGGCTGAAGCTATAAATATTGCTTTGGCAGTCATAAAACAATGAGGGTCTTTTAGCACACGGACATCAGTGGTACCTGTCTCCAAAGGGTCGTAAGATTTATAGGCACGCATGCGAAGTCGGGGGAATGGAATCTCACACAGAAATTAATCCTAGCCAGAATTCAATTATCTTTGATAGGTTTATCTTAAAAGCTTTGCTAATAACTATGGAGGTCAACATACATTTCGCAGCTATAAATGTCAGCTATAATGCGTGCTGTCATTGTATAGCTGTCTATAATTGAGATGTTTACTTTATCTCAATTCCCCTTTTCTTTCTGCCTCTGTAAAAATCTACTATCCTCTCTCATCTTAAATGAAAATGAATCAAAGTTTCTTGGTTCACTTTTAACCAAGTCCTATATAATGATTTCCCTTGTGATGTCTAATCCAACAGGTTAGTGTTTAAAGCATGGTCTAAAAGAAAGCCAGAGGGAATTGCTTATGAATACTAAGCAGAAGAGGTGAAAAATTTCAAGTTCCTTGAATCTGTTTTAAAAATCCGGCCATCGCTGATTCACTCTTCATTCTTCCAAGGTAATTAGTTTCATGGCAAATCTTAAAAACTACATGGTAGGCCTCACAAACTATCCCCTCTTCTTAGTATGAATGTTGAAGATCCCAAATAACATTTTTCTAGGAAATGTACTATTTGCCCACAGTCAAAACTTCTCTTTACCTTACTGTTAAGCTTTTCACTCCAGAAGTGGCTGCATTTCAATGGTGTTATAGGAACATGGGTTTCAGCAATGTAAAAGGCAGGATAGATCTGTACCTTATAGACTGACTAAATAAGATGTATAGAAAGCATGGACACACACGCACACCCTTTGTTCCTAGTATAGGCTCTTTGCTTGTATACCTCTCCCAAAGCTGGCCTCCTGTCCATTCCCACCTTTCCACCGTTTGTATTCAAATCACTCCCCCCTGCTTTGTACATCACTCTGTGCTTGTCCTTTCACAGCATTTGATAAAGTGAGCTCCAGTTCACAAAAGCTTATGCTCTTTATATATCTTATTTAGTCAATAGGGTGCTTATCTACACTGCACCTGCCTAACCTCAGACTAACATGCCTAACTACCAATCTTTAAGCAGTGTGCCGGATCTAGAGAACAATTTTGAGATCACTGCCGTGAAAAGTGGTCGAGAAATAGAAATTAATATTGATTAGCTTTATTTTTATTGGGTGGTGTATTGAGGAGAAGGATAATTGTAAGGACAGTTAAACACTAAAATAGATTGCTTAGGATGCTTGTGGAATTTCCATCAGTATGGGCTTTTAGGGACCAGTTAGGAAAACAGCTAACAAATATTTTAGGTAAACTGCCTTGGAGTAGATACCTGCACTAAATGACCTCTTGAGAACAATGGATTCCCTATTTGTGCATGTAAAAGTTGCTTGAAGTCTGAGAGCTTTCTAATGTCCCAAATGGAACTTAACCCACTGGAACTGAGTCATGTCACTGATTCATTTTCCTTTCACTCCAGTTGGAACTGATAAGAAAATAACCATCAGTTAGAGATGAGTGAGTGACACCAAAAAGCAAAATATCACAATATCCTGTCAAATACGAAGCTCCTTGTGGAAGTACCACTTCATGTCTGCTTACTGAGCTTTACAAACATTTAAAACAATTGTTGATTTGATGATCAATATGCCATATCTAATGCATATTATCCACAGTGTTTCCAGGGAAAGAAAGTCATTAAAATATATGAGATATTGGAAGGACACCTTAAACGGATTTGCAGGATATCTATTCTGACTGCACTGATGTAACTCCAACATATATTTACATGGCTTGTTACACAGATTGAT